CTTGGTACCAAGTATAAGCTTGGTGCTTGGCAGTAAGATGATTGTGATGTATATGAGGAATATGTGTATGCTTTGTACTAAACACCAAGTTTGGTGCTTGGTAGTGAGGTGGAAGAATCTCAACCATTGATGTAAGTGTGGAATCTTCATAATGTGAGGAATCTCAACCATAAATGTAAATGAGATTTGTTAGATGGAAAGTACATCCCCATGTGATATGTCACACATTTTGTCTTTATACTTCATAACCTTAGATGTGAGGTTGAAATGCATCTACCTCAATACTAAGCACCAAGTTTATACTTGGTATCAAGCATACCCATTTCTTTCTCTGCATGCGCGCGCACACACATATATATGAAAAATAGGAATGCTTGGTACCAAGCGTAAATTTTATGCTTGATAGTAAGGTGACTTATTCTTATTCACTTATTCAAATAGTCTCCACTTGAAAATGATCACCCTTTAACTATCCAATTTACATTAATGTGATCTCTCCTTAAATTTAGCGGATGAGAATGAGCCACATTATTACCAAGCACCAAGTATGTGTTTGGTACCAAGCATACCTAATTCTCTCTCTATATATATGTGTGTTTGCGCGCGCGCGTGTGTGAAATGGGTATCCTTGGTGCCAAGTATGAAATTAGTCTCTTTTAGTGAGTCGATGACTTTTTATCCACGCATTTAGAGGCGCACACATGAAAATGACCCCTACTTGATTATTCACCCAATATATGAGTGGATGAAAAGTGGCAATGTCACTATGATAAAATTTTGTCCTTGGTACTAAGAATATCTATATTCTTCTCTCTATATATAGAGAAAAATGAGTATCTTTAATACCATGGATAAAGTTGGTTTTTGGTAAAAAAGTGGTAACTTTTCATCTACACATTTATAATTATCCACTTGGAATCCCCACTTAATTACTCATTCATTGAGTGGATTAGAAGACGTCTAATGCAGCGCAAAAGTAATAAACTTCGGAATCCACCAATGATTGCTTTCTAAATCCATAAAGAATCTTGGAATACATGAAGAAAATATAATAAGAGGAATTTTATTGATGAGAAGTTATGTCTCTATGACTTACAATCCTCTGCTTAAATAGAAAAATAAATTAGACTCCTATTAGGACCTGAACTTTTCCAAAAATAGAAATAACAAAACTATCATTAAAAGTCTCCCTATGATTGAGGAAATCAATCGCTCAAATTTGAAATCATATCGGATTTGTTTCTTGATCTAAACAAGCTTCCAAAATATTACTCAAAATAGTAAAAAACTGACGAAAAGTTTGATATCTCTCTCTCAGGAGGGGATTTCGTGAAACGGACGGTAGTAAACTAACTAATGGTTGGTTTGATTGACTCCTTCTGAGTGATATTCATATATTATTTGTCTAATTCCGACGTACAGTTTGGGAGATACGAACCATTCTTCGTTGCAAATTAGTTTCCTCTGGCAGAGCCCTGTTTGGGCTTCTGACGATCTAGAATCTCCATGATCGCATCCACAACACTTTCTACATCAACATCTCACTACTAAGGACGAAATTTGGTACCAATTTGGTCTTTGGTTCCAAGGACGCCTATATTTGTTTCTCACACACACAGATAGAATTGAGTATCTTTAGTATCTGACGAAGTTGATCATTGATAGTGAGGTGATTACTTCACATCTATGCATTGCTCACTTGAAAGTAGTCTTCTCTAGGTTACTTATTCGTTAGATGAATGGATGAGAAGTGACCCCTCACTTCAAAAGAACAAACTTAGTGGTACCAAGAATGCCTATATTCCTCTGACACACACATACAGGCTTGTATAATACCCCTTCATATATACAAAGCATACTAGAAATTCATTTTTTGAAGGGTGGAAGGTGAGGTGGGGGGATCGACGCATATTAACTTCATTATAAGTGGCTCTAGATGGAGTAGCTTAACTTAGGTCACCTACTTTTTCTGTACGAAAATGGGTTCAGTTAAGGAAATTAAAATTTTGAGGAGGCTATATGAAGGATCAACCATTCTAACCAAGCCCCAAATTTTGAGCCCCAAATTTTGTGCAAAATTACTGGTAAAGTGAAGAAAGCTGTTTGTCGGGTCATAAGAAATGCTATTATACTGTTAGTATAGGTTAGTGCATTCAGGAGCAACTCTCCAAAATTCTCTAGATTATGGTAGAGGCAGGAAAGAGGAGGAAGTTGTCGTAACTTTGCTTCAGACAATGTATTAGCTTGTATATATGATACGCATTCATCTAGGACATGATATAGAATAATAGAAACCATTGTACCCAAATAATTTCTAACGTGTGAATCATACTATTGAACCATTTACCTTTCATATTCTTTTATTGCCTGTAGGTGGACGAAGTTTTGCTTGAGTTAAGTACCATTGGAAACCAAGTTCTCTATCTAGCACTCTAGGACTAATCACTTACTGTCAACCCCATTTTGAGAAGATTCATGTAGAAGCAAATGAAAGGAATATCTCCACCTGTACAATCTAGTGCTCACAGACACGATCATGAGCATGATAAGGTAACTATTGGTTTAAAGGTGAAAGGCGAGACCAAGGCGACAAGGTCCTATATTGTTCAAGGCAAGGCACCTAAAAAAGGCAATCGACCTGAGTGAAGTAAGGCAATAAGTATTCAAAAAAATCATAAAACTTATAAAAAAATATGCAATTAAACACAATAATAAATCTCCACATCAAATACATGAGTCACAGTCAAACGTTCGAAGTCATAAACTATGATAACGAACATGACAAAGTTTATCCAAATAAAGTAGGAATTATTAAATAATAAATACTAACTAGTAACTACTAACATATATAATTAAATGATAAACTTTCAGCATGCAACATGTTTTCAAAATGGTGTAGGCACATTACAAATTAATAACCAAAAAAATAACAAAAATAAAAGTAAAAACAAATCTTAAAAAAATAAAAAAGAGTTTTTATCTTGACAACAGTAGTTGTTGGTGATTGGCAATAGTTGTCGATGCTAGGAAGCCTATGGTGGTCAATGGTGGCCACCAAAGGCCATGCAAAGAAGATGGTGAGAGAGAATTGAATAGTCAAGTTGTCATAATCCTTAGTAGGTAAAGGTCCTAAATTGATTTAATATATTGCCCTAATATTGTAGTTTCTTTGAGAACATAGTTCCTCAATGGTGTCTACTCAAAACTCAAACAGAGGCAAGAGGCTAACAACAAGCACCTCAGCACCTTTGGTGTCTCAAGTGCTCGCTTTTTGTAACCTTCAATGCCTAGCATGTCGCAAGTTGCCGAGATGCAAAATCGCCTCACCTAAGCACTTGAGGCGTTAAGGCATGACACTTCTAAAACAGTGATGGCGACTTTACATAAATTTGCTCTGTAACTGTTAAGTTACAAGGGCTATATTTTTGGAAGTGTTACTTTAAGTTATAAATATTAGTCTATACGTAGTTAGTAAAGTTTTGTTCATTTTCTTTAGTTTTGAAGAGCTAGTTAATCATTTGACAATGGCACCACTTTGGCACAGTGTGGTAGGAATAGGGAACAAACAAATCAAAAATTTGAACCAACCTGTATATGAGCTCTACCTGAATTGATTGCATTAATTATCTGTGAATGTTCATTTGAAGGTTATACATAAAATTATAATGCTAAGCAACTTTTATGCTGTTTTAGCCCCCTTTTTTGTGATGTATTTATGCTCATGGGTCTAATTTGTTTTTCTTTCAATGCATGCAAAGCAGGAAATCAGGTTGCTCATGTGAGCTGTGCTCAGTGTCGTACTACTCTAATGTATCCCTATGGAGCACCCTCTGTTAAATGCGCGATATGTCATTATGTTACAAATGTCGGGGTAATGTCAGAGACCTCTCTATATTTCTCCGTTCTGTTTGTTCTCCTTTTCTTCGTTATCATCATCTGATAGCTGTTGTAGTACATTTATAACTTTATTTTATGGGAGCATAATTTCCTTTCCTTTCTCTCCTAGTAGATGAACATGAGGATGCCAATCCCTGTTAATAGGCCAAATGGAGCTACAACAGTTCCACAGTCTACTTCAGCTGTATGTATATCTCCTTACTTTCTGTGTTGCTTAACTATTCCAGTTAGATCTAGACTTTCTTGACTTTCTTTAATGTCCTTTTTTTTGGCACAGTCTAACAGCCAAACTGTTGTTGTTGAGAATCCGATGTCAAGGGATGCAAGTGGAAAATTGGTATCAGTCTCATCTCTCTTTTTCTTCTTCTTGGCATCAGGCATGCCTATATTTGTTTCGCAAGATAAACTTCATTTTTCTAGGAAGCATCGTATGTCTTCTAATTCATATCTCAGTATATGTAAACATCTTTTTGGGATTCATCATTTAAAAGCTATTCCCGATCCCGATTGAAAGATGGGTGGTATCTGCATCAGACCCTAGGAATTCTTTTTGTTTTAATTAAACAAATCTATAGTCCGGTCTTTGATTCTTGGACTTCCCATTATCTAATCCCATGCTTTACCAGTTTCACTGGCATTTCCTTTTCAAAAGTGTAAAAATTTATCCTTTTTCATTTAAAACATAGATAAAGTTTAATTGATCAATTTGCAAACCTGCAATTCACATCTAATGCTTACTGTTTAACTAAAGAGGGATAAACCTACTTATTTCATGTACTTTTTGATGACGTCATTAGTATAATCCATAACAAATATCTTGCATTCTGAGGATGCCAACTGCGAGAAAGTAGGCGGTAGCCGCGGTACTTAAGCTCATTTAAGCAGTGAACTGAATCTGTAGAAACCTGTAATTTAAGGTTTTAAAATGCCTGTGATCTAACCGAACAAGGTTACCTGACTCAACTTCTAATGATGTTCTTCTCATGTGTTGCAGGTGAGCAATGTAGTAGTCGGGGTCACCACAGATAAGAAATGATTTCCATTGCTGTTCAAATCCTATGATGATATATTTTCTGTTGTAAATTTGAAGTTATTAAATCTCTATTATCATGTTTTGGGGGACCTCTGCTATGCGAGGGGATAGATACAGATATAAGAACACGAGAAATGCGTGGAGGTTTATGAGATTAAAAAAAAGGTGTGCTTTGAAGACTTGGAGCTATATATTCGTTTAAAATTTGACAATATGAAGAAGATAACCTTGGCTGGTTGCCCCAATGCCAAGATATGCTTGTGTGAATAAGTTTGGTTTAGTATCGGGTGAAAGAAAATGGGAGCCTGTTTGTGCATTTCTTGGGGATGCATCTGCTTGTAAAAATTTGTCCATTGTTGGGAGCCATATTGTGTTGTAAGTGTGTGGTTTGCCTGCATAAATTTGTGTTGTGAAGTGCGTTGTTGGGTATCACACGTGCACTTCATGTCGTTGTCAATATTTTGTTTTTACCTTTTTCTGTATAAGTTTAAGAAAATAGACCAGCATGGAAGGAAGTACGCTTGCAGGAGGGCAGGACGCAAGTTGATAGGGGGAAAGAATAGTGAACTTTCAATTTGACGTTTAGCCCATCTAATTAAGTACCGGAGTCGACCCATATTTTTTCTTTTGTTTTTTCCCCCTTTATTTCATTTTTCTGAAACTTCTGAACGCTGGGAGTTCAAGTATTAACAAGGTGAGGTTTGCATATATACCCCTCATCTTTAATATTTGCAATATCACCCCTTACTTTTTGGTATTGGCAAAATTACCCTTCAAAACTAGCATATTAGGTCTTTCTACAGCTCCAGCTTAAGAATATTTGTTTTCAATAAGGTAATGTCAAAATTTTCAATAATTTCCTATAGGTCTGCAACAATTTCCCGTTTCATATTATAGGGGTATATATGCAAAAAACTCTAACAAGGTTCATAAGAAGTTTGAGAGAGTGAAGAAACTCTAAAAAATAAATCGTAATGATTTCCTTTGTGGAATTTGAGTAAATGAGATTGGAGAATAATCTCTTAGTAATAATCTTTTATTGTCAAAATTACTGAACCATTCTATCATTATGTTACTTTTCTACTGAGTAACTAATGCACTTTAGTGTTGTCATCTTATTCTTAGGAACCTCATTTCAGCAACAATATTAAGCATATCACGTTAAAAGTATACTTAGCACTTCAGTACCTTTTAGTTTCCCCTACTTGGTGCTTATATACACTCTGTAGATTTTGGCAGCACTTATAAACCCTGAAGTAAACTTTTAATATAGTTGGAACATCAACTTCACCAAACCAAACAAACCCTAACTGCTCTCTCATCACCTTAAGCTACTTTTTTTTGTTCAATTTTAATTTCGAAAATAAAGAAATTATTTCTTAAAATTAGTTTGATTTGATGAACGGGTATTAGTTACAATTTTTATATTCAATTTGAATCTTCTGTTTTTTTAATTGTAAAAAGCACTTTCTACCTACCTTCTTAAAATTAAAATCATTCATATGGCCTCCTATCTTGCTGGCAGTTATAATACAATTCTTCTCTCCATAGATATAGAAAATTATGTACGGTCACCTTTAGACGATATTTTTAGTTAATTTTCAAACACATACAAATAATTAAGCTGCCCAAATTCTTTCATATATCTTACACATTTAAGAAACTAAAAAACATTTGTCCAAAAAATACAAAAAATTAGCAAAATTGAAAGTGTTTTTATCCTCACTACGTAATCCGAATAATTGCTATCTAAAGACATTGGAAAAAGGATAAAAGAATGGACCTAAAAGTATTGTTATTATAATTCGGTAGACCCTAAAACAAGATTGTAAGTAATGAAAATGTAGGGACGAATTTATGTAATTTAAGACAAACAAAAAGTTAATATCAAAAGGTAAATGATATTCAGATTTTTGTGTCCACATAGATTGAGATATCTTTCTTTAATAGGGTCACCAATGAAGTTTTTCCACAAATTTCTATTTGATTAATGTAAAACTTTATTATTTCAATAAAGTTTTTACTTTTTTAAAGATACATAATTTAGTTCTTTACAACACGTGCAGTTCCTCTGTCCAGTACATAATTTTGCACAATATTTTTCAGGAAGTTCATGGAAAATGAAAGGGAAGGATGAAGGAATAATTTTCTCTCACCCCCTTTCCACATTTTACTGTGCATCCTAGTTTTTACCTTTAGTTTTACTGTGGCAGTCAAGGTGGTTATCGGAATAGTGACTGGGCCTAACTAAATCCGTTTCCCTTGAATTGGGTCCATAACGGGCCACGGGCCTTACCTCCTTTAAAACTCTTTCAACGGACAAATTTTAAAAATCAACCCATTTATAAAAATAATTGCAAAAATCGATCTCTTTTCAACATATTTATCAAAATCGACCAAGTTTCAGCAAGATGACTGAAACTGAGTCGATTTTGACCAAAAAACTTACGAAACTTCAAGTCCCGTGAAGTTTAAGACCCTCTAATGAAATTTGATTAACAATGCCAGCTCTTTCACGGGTCTTCAAGTTCTATGAAATTTGTTTAAAACTTCACGGAGAAATATGTCGATTTTGTTTAAAATTTGTTTAAAACTGAAAATTCAACGGAAACTTCACGGGACTTCAAATCTCGTGAAGGTAAAACACTCCTTATAAGTTCACATGACTTCAAGTCCCGTGAACTTACACAGATTAGTTACATAGCTGCTAAACTGAATCGATTTTTCACAAATATGTTAAAAAAATATAAATTTTCCCTTTAAAAGCACAAGTTCGAGAAAATCTTTTTTAGATAAATATACCCTTGAAATTCAAATACTAATCCATATACCTAAATTATCTAATCCCTCTTCCTTTTAACTAACCTCCAATCAAAACCGTCTCCCTTCAATCAAGCGAAGCTCAACGAAGAAGCAGCAGCAGCAGCAACAGAGGGAAATCTCTACCCCTCTCCAACTTTCCAACAATGTCAACGCTAGAGATCGAAGCTCGAGAGTAAGTCTCCACCTCTTAAACCCTAAACCCTTTTCTTCTCCCTCAACAAAACCCTAAAAATATGTCCTTTTTTTGGCAGCGTTATAAAGATTGTCCTCCAATTTTGTAAAGAGAAACCCCTGCACCAAACGTTCCAAACCCTGCAGAACGAGTGTCAGGTGTCCCTCAACACCGTCGATAGCCTCGAGACGTCGTCTCCGATATCAACAGCGGGAGATGGGATGCTATCTTGCCTCAGGTTTCTCAGCTCAAGCTCCCGAGAAAGAAAGTGGAGGATCTCTATGAACAGGTAGCAGCTTTGGGGTTTGTTATTTGTGATTTGAGTTAAAAGTTGAGTTTTTTCGTTGATTTTCGAGTTATTTGGCAGATAGTGTTGGGAATGATAGAGCTTCGTGAGTTGGATACTGCACGGGCGACATTGAGGCAGACGCAGGCGAAGGGTGTGATGAAACAGGAGCAGCCTGAGAGATATTTGCGGCTTGAGCACCTCTTAGTTCGGACTTATTTCGATCCCAATGAGGTATGGAGTCATGCTCTTAATGATTTGATATTGTTTTCTGATCTGAGTGCTTGCTGATGGTTTATGTGTTACTTGACAGGCATATCAAGAGTCTACTAAGGAGAAGCGCCGGGCACAGATTGCTTAAATTTTGCTCATAATTGTGCTGACACTTTTAAACCAGATTTCGACTATAACTAAGATTGATAATGTTTCTTTTATGCAATGATTACTTCTTTGAAGCGTCAATGTAAGTTTGTACCTGCTGAGTCTGTTAGATCTGAATCATAAAACTTGAGATCTAAAACCATAAGCCAATGATTAATTCGAAGAGATTAACAAGAATCAAAAGAGCGGAAGCTTATACCTGAATCCATAGATGAACCTGAGATGTGTTTTGGATCTTCTAACCTTAGGGTTTCTCTATAGCCGAATTTCTCTCTTAGATGGGGGTGAAGAGAATTAGAGAATGTAACCCTAAATTAGGGACCATAACCCCTTATTTATAGATGTTGTATTTTTATAATTTGGCCCCTCAACAAATCACAATTACAACCTGGTATCTGCACATATAACCCCATGACTTATTTAAATACCCATTAACCCAACTTGATTGATCACTTTAGTGAGTTATCCTGAAGGATAGCAATACACATTGATTAATCATATGTGCCCACAATTAGATTTATTAGATTAAATCCAACAATCTCTCACTTGGGCACCATATGATTCCTTAAATTGTGTATAACCTTATGAGCTCAAAATTGCTATCACTGAAAAGGTATTTCCGAACAATCTCGTCCATTGACTATATCAATATAGGATCAAAGCGGCCTTCGTCACATTTATCGTGACTCGACCCATCAATGGTCACATATACCAATACAATCAAACGACATAGATCAATCATGGATGTGCAGCATGAAAATTACATGCAATGTGATCAGTACATGTCTATTTTCAACTGGTCCTCCTTAGTGAGGTCAAAACCAAACATAATGTAACAGAGTGTCTTAACTGAATACTTTATTCTGATCAGACAATACAACCAAACATAAAGCACCACAAATACAAACTCCCACTAAAACATAATATCCTCAAATAATACCACACCCATATGAGCAGTATGCTCATGAAAGACCCTGGGTGGCAATCCCTTAGTAAGAGGATCAGCTATCATGGAGTTTGTCCTAATGTGCTCTATAGATATCTGTCCACTCTGTACCCTTTCTTTCACAACCAGGAACTTAATGTCAATATATTTTGACTTAGTTGAGCTCATGTTGTTATTGGAATACATTACTGCATATTTATTATCACAATATAACTTTAGTGGTCTTTCAACATTTTCCAAAATGCGCAGTCCCGTGACAAAATTTCGCAACCATATTCCCTGATTTGATGCCTCATAGCAAGCTACAAATTCTGCTGCCATAGTGGAGGAAGCTACTAGTGTTTGTTTGACACTTTTCCATGATATAGCTCCTCCTGCTAACATATAAATGTAGCATGATGTAGACTTTCTGCTATCTTGGCATCCAGCAAAATCATAATCTGAATACCCAATGACCTCTAACTATTCTGATTTTCTTTATGTGAGCATATAATCTTTTGTTTTCTGAAGATACCTCATAACCCTTTTGACTGCTATCCAATGATCCATACCAGGGTTGCTTAAGTATCTGCCTAACATCCTGACAATGTACGCAATATCCGGACGCGTACATACCTGAGCATACATTAGACTTACTACAGCCGAAGCATAAGGAATCTTCTGCATTTCCTAAATTTCAAGGTTACCTTTAGGGCACTGATTGAGACTAAACTTGTCTCCTTTAGCAACAGGGGTGTCACCTGGTCTGCAATCTTGCATGCCAAACTTTTTAAGTACCTTATCGATATAGCTCTTTTGTGATAATCCAAGAATACCCCGAGAGCGATCTCGATGTATCTGGATCCCTAATATAAAAGAGGCGTCCCCAAGATCTTTCATCTCAAAATTTTTTGATAGAAATCTCTTGGTTTCGTGCAACATGCCTATATCATTAGTGGCAAGCAATATGTCATCGACATACAGAATCAGAAAAATATACTTACTCCCACTGAACTTGTGATATACACAGTCATCAACAATGTTCATCTCAAAACCGAACAAGATAATTATTTGTTGAAACTTATGATACCATTGACGAGGAGCTTGCTTGAGTCCATAAATGAATTTCCTTAATTTGCAAACCATATTCTTTGGGTCTCCTGACATAAAGTTTTCTGGTTGCACCATATAGATCATCTCATCAATGTCTCCATTGAGAAATGCAGTCTTAACATCCATCTGATGTAACTCAAGATCATAATGAGCAACAAGTGCCATGATTATTCTGAAAGAGTCTTTCGATGAAACCGGAGAGAAAGTCTCTGTATAATCAATGCCTTCCTTTTGAGTATAGCCTTTAGCCACAAGACGTGCCTTATACCTCTCCACATTACCATTTGCATCCCGCTTGGTTTTAAAAATCCATTTACAACCAATTGGTTTTGCACCTTCTGGCAATGGGACAAGTTCCCAAACCTTATTGTCTTGCATAGACTTATACTCTTCATTCATGGCATCAATCCACTGTTGAGAGTTAGAACTTTTCATGGCCTGAAGGAAGTTGATTGGATCATCTTCCAACATTCCATTGCTTTCCTCATGTTCTTGGAGAAATACAATATAATCATCCGGAATAGCATTTCTTATTTCTCTCGTGGATCTCCTTAATGACACTGGTTCTTGAGGTTGTTGAGTTTGTTCTTCTAGAACAGGGAGTTGTTCAACATTGTCATCTTGAGGTTCCGGATTTACTTCTTGAGCAACAACAGGTATAGTAACCTGAATATTGTCAAAAGTAACTGTATGGATTGGATCTGAATCCAATTCCTCCTCAAAACTAATGTCTCTAACCTTATTTCTCCCCCCAAACTCAACATCCTCAAAGAATGTTGCTGTTCCCGTCTCAAAAATATTCCTTATAGTGGGATCATAAAACTTATAGTCCCTAGAGCGTTCAGAGTACCCAATAAAGTAGCTGCTAACTGTTTTGGAGTCCAATTTCTTTTCATTTGGCCTATAAGACCTTGCCTCAGCTAGACATCCCCAAATATGTAAGTGCTTTAAACTGGGCTTTCGACTAGTCCAAAGCTCATAAGGTGTTTTAGCAACTGTTTTACTTGGAACTCTGTTCAGAATATAAGCTGTTGTCTTAAGTGCTTCTCCCCAGAGTGACTCTGGTAAAGAAGAATGAGCAATCATACTTCTTACCATATCGTTAAGAGTCATGTTTCGTCTTTCAACTACACCATTCACGCTAGGTGAACCTGGCATAGTGTACTGTGGGACGATACCACATTCCTCTAGGTATCTAGCAAATGGTCCTGGACGTTGTTCACCTGAACCATCATATCTATCGTAGTACTCACCACCACGATCAGATCTAACGGTTTTAATTCTTCTGTTGAGTTGATTCTCAACTTCAGCTTTATAGGCTTTGAACATGTCCAGAGACTCAGATTTTTTATGAATAAGATATAGATGCCCATAACGTGAGTAATCGTCTATGAATGATATGAAATATTACTAACAATTCCAGGATTCCGTAGGGAATGGCCCACAAATATCCGTATGTATCAATTCTAAGACATCCGAAGATCTGTTGGCACCTAATCTCTTAACTTTGGTCTGTTTTCCCTTGATACATTCAACACATACGTCGAAGTCCGAAAAATCAAGGGAATCCAAAATGCCATCAGACACAAGACGCTCAACTCTACCTTTTGAGATATGACCTAAGCGCTTATGCCATAATGTCGCCGAATTTTCCTTATTTAATTTACGCTTAGTACCACGTGATTCCACATGCAAGGATTCATTATAAGAAGCAATTGTATCAAGCAAATATAGGTTGTCATAAATACTCAAGTAACCGGTTCCCACAACATTTGAATTAAAAGATAAACTGAATTGACTGTTTCCAAATGAACAAGAATAACCTGATTTGTCCAATACAGAAACAGAAACCAAATTCCGTCTAAAAGACGGTACTACAAAAGTATCTTTTAAATCCAAATAATAACCAGTTCCTAACAACAACCTAAAGTGCCCAATTGCTTCCACATCTACTGATTATCCGTCGCCCACAAAGATGTGTCTTTCAACATCACTTGGCTTTCGGTAGCTCAGGCAACCCTGCATAGAAACACTTATGTGAGTAGTAGCACCAGAGTCTAACCACCAAGTGTTTCTAGGTACTGAAGCTAAATTAACTTCAGAACAGACCAAAGTAAGGAACATACCCTTAGTAGCACGCCAGGTGTGATATTTTGTACAATCCTTCTTTACGTGTCCAGGTTTATTACAGAAGAAACAACCCTGATTATCCTTATGTTGTTTCTTCTGAACTGGACTCTTAGCAGCTTCATTATCATTCTTCCTTTTCTTACCCTTATCCTTAGAGGCATAGGCCAAATGAGCACTTTCTGTCTTATCTTGCTTCAACCTGTCTTCTTCTTGCACACAGTATGAAATGAGCTCATTTAGAGTCCATTTCTCCTTTTGACAGTTATAACTGACCTTAAATTGGTTAAACTGTGCAGGAAGAGACAACAAAACCAGATGCACTAATAACTCGTCACAAAGATCGAGTTTAAGTGCCTTAAGCTTTGAAGCAATATGAGACATTTCCATAATGTACTCCCTGATATTTCCTTTGCCCTTATACTTCATTGAAATCAAGCGAGCTAAAAGCGTGCTTGTTTCTACCTTATCGTTTTTCGCAAAACGCTTCTCAATTTCGGCAAGGAAATCTTTAGCCTTAGTAATCCCTTCGGATTCTATGCCCCTGAAGGCTTCCGGAACGCCGCGCTTAATGATCATAAGACTCATGCGATTTGAACGCTCCCACTTCTCATGCTCCTTCTTTGCATCAGGAGTGCTATCCGCATTGAGAGGTTGGGGTTGTTCAGTTCTTAATGCATAGTCAAGATCCATGCAGCCAAGAACAATTAATATGTTCTCTTTCCAAACCTTGAAGTTTGTCCCATTTAGCATGGGAATTGAGTTGATGTTAGCAGAAATTGTTGCAGCAGATGCATTAGCTGAAATAAAACAAAAATGCTCACATCAATAACCATAATCAATAAAATTCAAATAATGACAATCCCCATCCAAGATACCGGCACAACATTAATATCAAGTCTTTGGACAGTAATAT